AGTAGCAGAATCTTTGGAAAGGGTTTTCAATCTGCGCGTCAGGACGATACCCTGGTCTTTGCATGACGAGTCATCTCGGGAGTGAAGCAGTTTCAATCCGTTTCGGTGATCCTTTTCGAGTCGCAAACATCCTAACATCACGTGACGGCACATAAGTCAGAAGAAGGCAACAGACTAGTAGCTTCTTGCTACTAGTAGCGATGGCCTCGAACCTACTAGCTTCTTGCCACTAGATATTTTAAGAGTCCTTAAGAAGAAACGTTTTTGTGAACTACTCCTTGCTGCTACCCGTCAAGATCCGTCAAGGCAGCTGAGAGAGCGTGGACATAGATGGACCGCCGGAGCTGCAATTGGCTAAATCAACTGTTCCTAGTAACTAGTAGTAAGAATGCTCCTAGTAGCGATGCCAGGAGCCCCTAGTAGTGCCCTTGCTCCTAGTAGCGATGCCAGGAGCCTCTAGTAGCCTCCTTGCTCCTAGTAGTAAGGCCAGGAGCTACTAGTAGCTTCTTGTTCCGAGTAGCGTTGCCCTTCGCTCCTAATAGCCTTTTGCTACTCAAAGTCCCATCAGCCCAGCCCCATGCTGGTTCGGTTTTTTCCAGAAGCCCACTATGTACTGTATATCATATATATATATATAGAGAGAGAGAGATATGAGCGTGTGTGATCTAGATAATTAATGGATGTTATGACCGTAAGACGATCTACATGATGTGATGAACTCAATTGAGCAAAATTGCAGTTCCTGAGATCGTTGGAAAGGCCGCCAATTTTGGCCGCCATCTCCTCTGCTCACGGCCTATTGCGTGTTCTCAAAAAAGTGTACCCCACTGGTCTGGCAAGCGGCGAAGCATCAAATACAATTTGACAAGAGCTTTCATCGTCATTTGGCGAACGCAACGGAATAGCCCCTAGCAGCGCCCTTGCTCCTAGTAGTGATGCCAGGAGCCCCTAGTAGCATTCTTGCTCCTAGTAATTAGTAGCATGAATTGAGAAATATGTGCAATCCACTTGGCAGTTGTGTGACACTCAAGACTTTCATGCATGCGGTTTCTTCACCAAGAATTCCGAAGAAGCGTTGCCATTCCTCCAGGTGTTACAAAACTGTTTGTACTGGTATTTGCAATTTGTGCTTGCCTTTACTTGGGCCATTGAACAAAACGTCATTTGGCAGTTTAGTGAAGAACACTTCCTCCATGCCTATCGTCAGGTGGTGGCAGACTGCCGGCAGACTCAGATGGATTCACTTTGGGGTGGGTGCCAGCAACTGTGCCTCCATGTAACTCCATCCTTTTGCACAACGCACAACCTGCTAGCTGAACAGTTTGTTCTCCAGCTGATATGCACATGCTTTGAACTGCACAGGGCCATGACATGCTCGAAAAGTCTTTGGCACACAGCAGAGAACTACAGGATTTGAATATTTTCTTGCCTCACACTCTGAGGCTTTGTGGCTCTTGTCAGACTTCCCTGCACAGAGGCTGACTGCAAACCACATTTGCTTTGGTGCAACGGCTTCTTGGTGCAATGTTTGTGACCGTGGGTCGGCAATGCGCTTGCTGTGGTCGGCTACCTTCCAGGATTTCAAACCTGTACCAACTTATGTTCTTGAGCCTTTGTTACTGTTGGATGGCCAACGGCATCAAGCGTTTGTGGCACAATTGCCAGCCTTTCCCATACTATCCAGTAGTCGCGGCAGCTTTTGAGTCATTTATTAGCTCGATCAAGATTGAACTCAATCAATATGCTTTCAAAGCGGGCGCTTCGGTTTTGAATTTGGACCCTTGCGCTACTCATTTGGAACCACCCAGTTCATTGAAATTCACTGTGTCCAGATAGATGGTCATCAATTCTCATCATATGAAAACCCCAGACGGAATGTAAGGAAAGGACATGAAGAAGGAAAGGTCTACTACAAGTGGAAAAGAAACGCAAAGCGAAAGAAAAGATAGAAAACAAAACAAGATGGAGCCCACGAACCCGAATGCAAACACGTTCGAAAAGCTACATATGTCCAAATGACACTCTTGTAGGACACTCTTGTGGGTCACTCTTGTAGGAAACTCTTGTGGGACACTCTTACGGGACACTCTTGTGGGACACTCTTGTGCGACACTCTTGTGGGACACTCTTGTGGGACACTCTAGTAGGAAACTCT